TGGGCTTATTAATGAATAGGTCCACCATTTAGGTGAAGTGTAACATAATGATCTAACACTGCGCCAATAAGTTACGCTACTTAGAGTAACGTCTTTAAACTACCGTTTGTTTTCTGAAAGCGGAAATGTGAACAAAATATTTTTAGACACTCTCGGAAAGTATTTATCCTCATTTAAGCAGTTTTTATGCGACAGAGAAACATATTGTACGATGCCAGCGCATACTGAGACTGTAGCTTTATCACTCAGTATATCAGTTCGCGAGGGTACTTGACAGCTCCGTAAATTTCGCAAGTATAGTATGTCTGACGATTTTTCTGTCTGGCCTCATTCATCTCGACTTGACAGCTTTAGCTAGAGCGCCGGTTTAAAGGTCTGGTCTGTCAAACCTATGAACCCCAAAGTTCTTATGTTGGTTTTTTCAGTTCTTTATTTTAGCTGCCTTGTCTGCAGTAAAAATGTAAGTTTGGTCTCTTAAAACAGTCAATATGATTTTTTTTTTAATTTCAATAGCTTTCTATTGATTGATTTGAATAGTATTTATTATAATGGCATCGTGCGATTAACTCAATCTTAGGTTATCGTTAAAATTTTGTTTACATTTAAAAGTGGAATGGCTGAAAGTTTTATGAGGTCACTTCATTAAACTTCACTGTGGGTCTTAAAGTAAGATCGACGAACATGTGGTACAAAATTTTGGGTGATTTACAAACTTGTAGTTGTTCTAATTCAAAAATAAATATATTTTAGGACTAATTTAAACAATGTACTCTGCTACAATGAATTGTTCCTTAATAACTCCTCGTAAATTTAAATATTACCTAACTTTTTTGCTTCGAAGAGAAAATTGTATTTAATTAATCACACTTTACGTAACAATTTTATATTAAGATGTTTGCATTTATTATAGAAAGAATATTAGAGAATGAATAAAATTTTTACTGAGACTTGTTTTCTCAGAAGTTTACATATATTATTAAATTATTAATACCGAATTATAAGCATGGAAACGAACAGTTTGCTAGTAACATAGCATCATTCGAGAAATTTGCTCATAAAGTGAACCGGTGTTGTTCACAAACAATTCTATAAACTTAATTTAGCAACAGATGGTATTATTATTCGCGGGATTCCATAGAGAGCTTAAAGGTTATATCATCGCTTGCTTTAACGCCGTGCAATGTTTTATTCTCAGTGTATTATAAAGTTATTAAAAACAATATAAAAATAAATATTGCACATTCGAGTAATTAAATTAATAACGTCATGTAAAACTTAATTAAAGGTTTCACGACCCGAATGGCGTAGTGGGTAGTGTACCTGCCTCCTGCGCCAGAGGGTGTGGGTTCGATGCCCACTACTGGAAAAATATTGTGTGATGAAAATAATGTTTTTCTAGTGTCTGGGTGTTTATATATGTATAATATGTATTTATTTACAAAAGAAAAGTATGTTTAAGTATGTTTATCAGTTATCTGGTACCCATAGTACAAGCGTTGCTTAGTTTGGGACTAGAGAACGTTGTGTAAAGAATGTGTTCTAAAATATTTATTTATTTATTTACATTACAAGGTATGTACCTCACAGAAGGCCGGCGTGAAGTGGAGGTGTTATACTTCTGCGTTTCGTCTGGTGAATGAGGTAGTCAGGGCCCACTTTATTGTAAGGTGGCAACGCATCTGCTGTTATCACTTAACATCAGGCGAACCACCAGCTCGCTTGCCACCTTCTGACATAAAAAAATAATAATAAATAGATTGATCCATTACACGTGGCACAATTACATTTGAGGGTTCACTTTACTATTTTATTTCCATTACGTGTATGACGTGTAGACGGAAGTCACTTCATATAAGGTATATGCATATACATATTTATGAAAGAAATTTCGCCTTGTACCACGACTGAGTATATGAAACCTAATCAGCTCTACTTGCAATAAATAAAGTTTATAATAAATAATAAAATAAACATATAGGATATAACGTAATAATTATTCAACGACCGGATCTTTTCCCAGACTAATGCCATTTACATTATTAATTAACGCGTTGCGTAAGGTCTGCTGCTTCGTAAATTCCACCGAGGCAAGCGCTCGTAGCTGAATTAATCCACAAATAATTACAATAAGTAACGCAATTTTAGTTACTCCGAGTCACGCACCGTCTTTACATTTACATATACATTTTGTCTCTATATAATTCCAAAATATAGTATGTTGATAATTTATAATACCATATATGACGATATTTTAAATTTTAAAACTGTTTGTTTTTCTTATTTGTATTCTGTTCATGATAAGATTATCGTTAAATTATGCTATGTAAAAACTACAAACAAAACTACTTTTGGTAATTTAATCATAAATACAAAGACAAATTAAAAGATAAAAACAACTATCGATACACAAACTAATATAATAACATCAAATGAATCTATATCGACTCTCTATATCTATCACGACACTTTCAAACGAAAGCAAAATTAAACCCAGAATTCGAAATCATAATGAAAGGAATTCAAAATATGAGAAGAAATGTGTCTGTAGTAACGACTAACTAAAACATCTGCGTTTCAATTGTAAACAGAGAAACTCCCATCGCGATTTCGAACAGCAATTACGCACATCGAACGATACCAAAATTATTCACAACGACTCACGCAAAGAATACACTCAACCAGCTGGTAAGCGTATGATCAAATTCCATTTAACTGACATAATTCGCTTTATGGTGCCATTATGTAAATTTGACCGATTTCATTGTGTGCGTGTTAATGATCCATTAATGGATTTATGAGATTATTTGTGAGCGTTCGTATCATAAACTCACAGCATTGATTTCAGATGCCGATTTGGTCCTTCGAGATTTGTGAACTATTCATAAACTGATCAACGTTTTCAGGTTAACTTTTTGCTAACATTTAATAAGAAGCTATGACGCTTTTCAAATCTCAATTGATTGTTTCAAAGACAATATTAATAACACCTAGGAATACAGACAAGTTTGAAATTAAATAAAACGTGGGTGTGTACTTATTTACATTTACAAACAAGTTATATAATTCTTTGGTGTAATAAAATAAAAGTAACCAAGACTCCTCGGGAAATTTTCATGGCACTGTGCACGCGCATCATAAAATTCTCTCTCATAATTTCTCCCCTAACGCTCCCAAAGTAGTGTAGCTTACAAAATAATAACATAGGGTCGCACAAAATCGTGATGAAAAATCACTACAGAGATCACGATCTCTTAATAAACTATCACGGATGTTATTAAGCGACATTAAAAAATGAACGCTCAGTTTCGACTTGACCTTATAAAAGTATTTTTATTGCCAGTGAACGTGTACGAAGCAAGTTTATCTATTAGACATATCTTCAAGTACGCTTTTAAAAATGATCGTATATAAATCATGTAATAATCTAAATAAAAAACGGTATCTGTGTGCTGACGAGCTTGAAAGCATTGTTGGCAACAACTAAACGGTTGTTGACAGTTCAACAATATGCTAATCTTCTAAGGATATAATGAATATTCTTGTTGACTTGAAATCGTTGTAGGTTTGTGACCAGACGTCCAAGTTCAAGGAAAGCAGTATTTACGGGAGGTTGACGCGTGGAATAGCAGACAGCAATCAGTGCCATTTATATTTGAGGTATTCTGGCAATAGTGTTACCGTTTAATTAAGAAAAATCGAGTTTATTTTGAAGATAAAGTTTCAATAGACGAATTTCTTCTATTCGGTATAAAGCATCATCAATTCATGTCAATAATACTAATAACGCTATTAACATCCAAGCCGCCTGTTTGCCTCCACTAGCCGCGCCGTCGCGTCCGATACGCGAGCCATTTAAGCTGACCGTAGCCGAGCGTTGCGGTGAATCTGTTTACAATCATTTACGCATTCATGTCACCGACGATAGGCGTTTGCGGGCCACGGCCCGCTAACGCGGCGGATGAGATCTGACGTATCCTTGCATATCGAGCGTGTTCGGTCACAGGTGGCCGAGGCGGCGCTCAAGCAAGAGCGATGCAATCCGACAGCCGATCATAGAGACTCATATATAGCTGACTAGCGACGCGGAGGTTAAACCAGTTCAGTGAGACATTACGCATGCGGCTATGTTTCGCGTAGATTTGACGAGCGACCAAGCGGTTCACCTGATAGAAGTAATACACAGGCATATAGACATCAGTAATACTAGATATCAATAAACAGACTCTCTGTTCGGAGGTGTCGGCTATAAATAGATTATTACTATTCTATAAGACTTTGTGAAGTGTCATCAGATTAGCCTGCACTTGATCGATCGATCGTTTATCACGTTCCTGTAAAATAATCAAAACAGAAAATAATATTTTTACTTATAAAAAAAATATAAATTCAACTTAAGACAACTGATGAGATAAAAGAAAGAATTCAAAGAAGAAAGAATACATTTTATATTTGATTTTGAAGACTTTCTTGAAGTATCTTAGGAGTCCAAAGTCAAATACAAATGACATACACATGCAACTTAAAGTGAACCTAATGCAACAAGAATTTTTAAAATCTGTTCAAAATGACCGAGTTCTTCGGTAATAAACGTTATTAAAACAAAAAAACGACCGAATTCAGAACGTCCTCCTGTTTTAAGTCGGTTGGAATGACTACTGAGGGAAAATCGTTTTTCATGTTCATCGCGGCCGTACCAAGATTGACAATAGACGCATCAGTGATGGAACAGCACGTACCAAATGGGTGAAACTCACTGTCCGTAAAAGCTGCGCGGATTCCGTTAGAAAGGCGTACGTGTTGACGAAAGTCGTGTGCGCCAATATCGCATCTGTCCACCACATTTTCTCCACGCCTAAAGCGACGTGTTACGCAACGTGTAGAATGTGTGTCTAACATGCATCGATGCGTTCCAGCCTCACGCATTACGTACATTCGCATAGAATCAATCATAAAGTTTGTCTACGCGAGCTTTCACTGTCCTTCTGGGGCGCATTGACGTGATGTCACTCCCTTATAAGGCGGTCGATTTGCCGTGAGTTTCCGCGTGGCAGATTTATTGCGCGTTTCACTCCATTCTATTCGTGCATTTTTTATCGTGTCACTATCGCAATAGGTAATACTCGGCAGAGAAACGGCACTGTATCAGTTTGCAATGCGGTCATAAGGTCAGACGATTGACCTTCAACTGTCGACGCCATCAATGTTTTAATTAATTACATGAATCCTTTTTTTATTCCTTTAACACACTCTACTAATATTGCAAACATCACTATTGGACTCGTTTTTATTCCGGCAATACCCACTTTTGCTGTGAAATACGTATGGAGTGAAATTTAAATTAAAGCCTATAAATGATCTAAAAAGTTATAATCCTAGCAAGCAAAGCCACGGGCAACTGTAAAAAAGGTATATAAAGTATTCTGCAATAAGCAGACATAATTTTATAACAAATTAGCTGAAGTCATGGCTCAAAATCAAAATTAAAAAAATTAAATGGTTCGATTAACACGCGAAACGAACATTGAGTTCAAAATTAAACAGGTTCCACTTACATCTAAGTTCAAAAGGCAAAGGTGGCATCGATGGCATTATAAATATCATTAGTTGTCCGCATAACAGGTGATAATTGTGGCCCGTGAGCCGTTCCATTATATCGCGCTACATAAGTACCATTGCGCAAACAAAATCAATTCGCGATAAAGCACAACAAAGGCATGTAACGTCGCTATTTAACGAACAAAAGCGAATTTGCGAAATTCACAGCATTACTATTGTAAAGGTCAAATGTATAGTGAAACCGAGCGGAACGATAAATCAGCACGAATTAGGAAATAGCTCGTTAATAACGTCGTGTTAAGTTTAAACTGTAGTATTTAACAGATTACTCCGACTTTGGTTGGAGTACAAAATTGTACTATCACTAATCGTCAGTGGATATACATGTCGACCTTTGTTTGATTGATATTGCACCGAGTATTGGTGAAATGATAAATATCAAACCACACGAAGTGCAATGTTGACATGACATTTCAATTTCTGAAGCTTTTGATTTGATGATTCAGGTTGTGTACTGTTACATGTAAGACTTTAATACGACGATTTTGGTTTGACTAGGATACTCTGTTTAAAGTATATGACGCAGGAAGAATGCAATTATTGAGCAGAATCGGAGCGTGTATGTAGTATATTTAACTTAAAAAGCATGCATATCTCCATCCATTATAAGAACTTAAGTAGTTTAATAAAGTTTCGTTCTAAAGCCTTGCTGTTTTGTAACTATCCATTAATAATACCGACTAAACACAATTGGACGGACAATTAATGCAATTTACAATAATACTTTTATTATAGGCTAATGATTCTTTTACGATTTTGCAATTCTGTGTTTTTGTAGTAATAAGAAACCGAACACAAGGGGCCGACAACACTTAGACGGTGAAGCCTTGAAGCCTGGACTATGGAAAACGAAATCATCATCAGATAAGAAGGCCTTGCAGACATTTACTTTGACCGATCACGCATCGACAAGACAAGATGAATCGTAGATATTATGATGGACTGAACCTTTCATTATGTTAGGTACGTGGCGGCTCTTCTTTTAAATGCATCAAATGCTTTTTCTATTATTCCAGAACAATCGCAGAATGGATTAAAGCACCTATCTTTTTCCTCATTCAATATAAGAACGTCAACGTTTTGATATTGATTGTAATTTCCATACGCCAACGATAAAAAACAGATGAAAAATTATGGAAGCTTGCAGTCGGTGATTTATGAATCAGAACAATACCGTTTCATTATCAATATTGACTGCATATGAACAATACTTATTTACGTTCGAGTGATGTATTATCACACACCCCAACTATTTCCTAATCATAACCTAACAAAAAACCTCGAGATATCTCAATCGATATCAAAAGGTCACAGGAGAACAGTTATTGAGTTATTGAGTAATTGTTATGAAGGTTCTCTTAGGTATTTAAAATTTAATAATACATATCATGATTTTGTGGATCGTGCTCGGTTTGTTCTCCGGAAGTAGTTAAACGCCAACTTATTCGATTCTAAAGACAGAATTAATTTGTTGTTGAGTAAAACTAATACTACGGAATTTGTCTATAGACGTGTGAGGACTTCACAGTCCTGATATTCGAAGCGTATTTTTATTTCGAGCAAGACAGACTTCAGAAAAACATTTATATACAATTTGATTTTTTTTAATATGTTCTCGAGGCCATAATCATATATAGTAAATACATTAGTTTTCCCTCAACCAAGCAAAGTAATTCACTTGGTGACGGTAGAACGTCCTTCAATATTTGCGCTTCAGAAACCTGTTTAAAGGAGCCATTTTTCCACATTACGGATGTGGCAAAGCGCGTCTCCTTTCTCATATGAATTAGTCGATGGATGCAGGAGGTTCAGGATCGTGCTTTGTGGCAGTATGTGAAGGAGGCCTTTGTTCAGCAGTGGACTCGAACAGGCTGAAATGACGATGATGTGAACCGAGCGAGTTATCAATTTAGTTTACAATAAAAGTTTTGCATCTAATCCAAAATATGTGAAAAAATTTTTTCAGGCATTAGTGAAAGATTATTTTAAACGCGATTAAATTGTACACGTAATGTATATATATATGGAGGAATAAAAACCAATTACGTGCCACATAAATGCAATTAATAATAATAATTGTACAGCCAAGGCCTTATGACTCGTTTACAAATTGAGAAAAAAGGAAACAACCCGTTACATCGACTATGACCGTAAACTAATCGAGTTTACGGTCATAGTCGATGTGCAAAGAGAACAACAATAAAGGGCCCTTTTTTACTCATTACCCGCACACAATAGCCCCAATAAAGGTCTCGCTAAGCGCACGAGGCGCAAGGGCGAATGGTTTTAGTAGTGGTACGCTATTTAGATTTCGTGGATTTTCTGTTACGTTAAATGCTTTGAACGTGTTCATATTAGAATTGAAAAAAAGTAAAGTAAAGAGCATATAAATGTTGCGCTGCTAGGCAAATGCCTCCTCTGTACAGAGGGTATTAGGACAGTCCACCACGTGATCCCGCTGCGGATTGGCGGACTTCATAATCTTTGAAATATTTTTATTGTTATTATTTCGACAATATGCGCGTTTTCTGACCATGTTTTCATTCACCGCTGAGCACGTGATAAGTCAGCACTTAAAATTCACAATTTCATTGGTTCCGGCACCGGGGATAAAACTCGGGTCGAGTACCGATATCGAAATAAGAAGCGAACGCCCGGACAGTGAGCTATCACAGATCATATTAAAATTTAAACGAATAAGGTACATATGAAAAACGCCTGTGGATTTCTGACCAAATAAGGTATGACACAACTATGAATGCGACTATTGAGGTATCATCATCATCATCATTTAAGCCTGTTTGAGTCCACTGCTGAACATAGGCGGGGAGGCCTACAGACTGCCAAGAAGCCACCCGCATCCATCGACTTCCCGCACATTTACACAGGTCGTCACTCCATCTAGTGGGAGGTCGTCCCACACTACGATATCCAGTTCGAGGCTGCCACTCGAGAACTTTTCTTCCCCATCGGTTCTAGGAGCAATATGGACGGCCCATCACCACTACAGTTTGCTAACCTTATGAGCTATGTCGGTTACTATTGTTCTTCTGCGGACGTCTTCGTTGCGAACTCTACTAAGCAGAGAAATAGCGAGCATAGCCTGCTCCATAGCTCGCTGAGCGACTTTGAGCTTCCTCATACGACCAGCAGTAAAGGACCACTAACGCCAGGACTCAATACCGTATGGCATCACTTGCAAAACACATTGGTTGAAGACTTTAGTCTTCAAACATTGAGGTATATTCGACGAGAAGATTTGCCGAAGCTTCCCGAACGCTGCCTATCCGAGTTTGACCATATTGAGGTAAGCAAACATGTAAAATAACTAAGTGTTAAGCGATCGACGCGATATTTGCGAAACATGCTTTGTGGGGTATTCGATTTAGAAGCGTAGCTGTTAAAGAGAACGTTCACAGCTGTAGCGGCCGCCTCGAGGCGAGCGATAAATCGCCCGACACCGGAATACTCGCAATTCGTCTCACCGCGGGCCCGACAAATCCTCGTACGATCCGCGAGTTGGGGATAAATTACGGGACACCGCTCCAGCGGCTGACTAATGGCCGCGAACACCACACTGGCTGGAAGCTGCGAAGCGGAGGATGCGCGGAGTTGTGAAGATTTATACTAATATCCTTACTTCCTTACTTAATATTATAAACGCGAAAGTTTGTATGTATGTATGGATGTTTGTTACTCTTTTACGCAAATACTACTGAATGGATTTTCATGAAGCTTATCAATAATATTCTGATAAGACATAAGCTATAATTTATATACATATTTTATGTATATCTGTCTTTCTGTCTTAATGTTACACCTTCAGCCTATTCTACGCAGACGTAGTCTCGGGCAGCAGCTAGTATTATATAATTCGAAAGTTTATGTTATGGATGGATGTTTGTTACTGTTTTACGCAAAAACTTTTGAATAGATTTTAATTAAACTTTACAATAATATACCTTATGCATCAGAATAATACATATGCTATAATTTATAAAGATATTGTGTCAACTAAGTAGGAAAAATTTCAGCCATCTGCGAGATAATCTGGTATAAAATATAAAACTCATTGTTAATTCTCTTTGGCCTCGCGGGCGAAGCCGCGGTTAACAGCTAGTCCCTAACAAAGCCGTAATATCGGCGTCCGGACGTTTGCTTCTAATTCAATGTAATAGAACTTGGGTTAGTTCAGATCCTAGTGCCGGCAACGATGAAACTTTTAGTTGTAATTTTAAGTGCTGACTAATCACGTGCTAAGCGGTGAAGGGAAACGTCATGGTCATAATTATATAAATCGGTGTTTTTTTGCTATCAATCCTCAAATTTGTGGATCGAAGGAAAAAAAAATAAAAAATATGCAATAACCGACTGACTGTCAATATAATCATGTTAAAACATAACATTAGTAATATTAGTCATGAACATTAGCGGATTCGTAAAAAACTCCATTTGTGTTACACATTTTAAATGTCAACACATCGAAAGAATGAAAGCGAATAAGGTTCAAATCATTTTTCAAAAAGTAGCTTCGCACTGGCACTTAGAAATGCTTTTATAAGAAATTGTCGATAAAGGTTTTTTGTAAAAAAAAATACTTCACGGTAATTCATGTATTTTTTTGCGAGACCGCATCCAGTATTTTACGAGTGAATGTAGACGAGGACAATCGGCTTACTGCCACTGGCTTCGGTAGAGAGCGTAACTTAGTGAGGCAGATATTAATATTGGGCGCTGACAACAACCGTGCGATGAGAGCGGTGTTGCGTTCACTTAGCACCGACTAATAACACAAAAATCAATAATGTGAACAGAACAGCTTTTAAAATTTGGCTCTTTCAAATATTTTCCAGCTTAGAATATATTCCAAATTTCATTAAAACCCTTCCAGCCGTCGCGGAAAAGGGAAAAAAAACTCCTAATAATTGTGCCTAGTGCCTAATAATAATTCATTAATTTGCAAAACACCATAAGAAATCGTAATAACTCATAACCGCCTTAAATCGGTATTGCGTATTATTATTATAATGGGATCAAAGAAATATGAAATGAAAAAAAATTTCGGCGAAAATACAATCGGAATAATGGCATAAAACACTGCTTATAAAAAAGAAAAAAAAAAAAAAACAGTGACCTTTACAATTTTCCACTCACATCAACAATCCACCATGACAGAATCATGTTATTCAATTTTTCACAGTTTAACAACGATTCTAAAGACTAAAAAATATATTTGCTGTGTTGCGTTACAGAACGCTCGGATAACAATGGAGCCTAAATTGTATCACGTAATAAATTACGCGGGAAATCTTGAAACTATCCACAATATCACATTTTAAACTCAAAAAAATATATTTGTTCTCATGATACAGCGTGTCCATTAAAACAGCTTAAACATAACGTGTTGTTAATAGAAATAAATTTCAACTTCTTCGGCTTTTAGAGCACCTAAATTCATGGCATAGTAAAAGTTTGCTCTCTAGGTGGCGTCAATCACTGCTAAGAATGCAAAAATTAAAGTAGAGATAGGTGTTGAATGAAGCTCGTCAATATAGCTCGTAGAGCTGGTAATCGATGGGGAAGAAAGGTTCTTGAGTGGCAGTTTCGTACTGGTCATCGCAGTGTCGTCATCGCATCTTTACGGTGGTAGGGCCACGCAGCAGCCTCGGCTGTTGCACGAATGGGCAGGCCCGTCCGGGTAAGTACCACGATCTCACAGAAGACCAGCGTAAAGTGGAAGTATGACAAATACTTTCACGTTTCGTCTGGTGAGTGAGGTAGCCGGAGCCCAATTTTCAAAAGGTTGTCAACGCATCTGTAACCCTCGGGTGTAGCAAATGTCCATGGGCGGCGGTATTCACTTAACATCAGGTGTCCCGTCTGCTCGTTTGGCAACTTTTTGCATTAAAAAAAAGGTGTAGGACGACCCCCAACTAGATGGAGTAACGTCCCGTGCAAATATGCGGTTAGTGGGTGGATGCACGTGGCTCAGGATCGTGCTTTGTGGCAGTCTGTGGTTGAGGCCTATATTCGGCAGTGGAATCAAACAGGCTGAAATGATGATGATTAATAAATAATGAAATGTTTCGAAGATATGTTAAATCCAACATTCCGCAGTCGGGCCTCGATGCGAACTATGTCTTCATACCCTCTGTACAGAGGAGGCCTTTGCCCAGATGTAGGACATTTATAGGCTGTTATTTTACTATTTTTTTAATAAGATTAAAATTTGTAGAAAAATTTACTCAAAAAGGTTACTTAAGAGTATGGCAAAATATTTCTTCAACTTCCGCCAAAAGTGTAATCACGATCCTTCATCGTAGAGCACGCAAAGACGCACGAAAATAAAGAATTACACAGAAATAAAGAACTATTATTATGAGAATCGCAATGTGATGAATCATTCGTTTTGACGGCATATATTTACACGGTTATTTTTTTATCGTCACATCTGTCACAGCAATCGAATCGGTCGGATTTATCGCGCGGTTGGACGGGTATCAGTAGCTTCCATTGTTAACAACTTGTCGCACGAAAATGGAAACAACGAGAAACTTAAAGGATAATGAATGCCGCGGGCTTAATGATATCGGCGGTTGTTGATCAAACAGCGATTTATTAAAAAAAATGTATTCTCTTTTCTCCGGCGCGGTGCAAAGAGATGATGAATAGGCGCGAGGCGGTCGGCGGTGTTAATTATAGGCTCGCGCGGCCCGCAAGTTACTGGTTTGTTTACGGCGACTGAGTCAATAAGGGCTGATTTATCGCAGTGCCGTGTTCCGGGTGGCCATCGCGAGAGGGTGGGAAATGATTCAACTCGTTCCTGATAACGTCCAGAGAGCTAGCAGATAAGGCTAACGAGGCAGATTGAAATAGCGAACTCAGATCGAGAGCTGAAGTCATAGATCGACTTCTATTTTAGCGTGAAAAGACTCAGAGCTCGGTCAGAAAAGTACTGTTTTTAATACTATAGGAACAGAACTTTTTCGATGACCGGCTTGAAGTAGAATTATTTTTTCTTTGTACGATGAGCGAGGTCATTGCTGACCAACCTTTTAAAGATTCACAACGCAACGGCAATCCCACGATTGATGTTGGTGGTAATGAGCTATGCTAATTGCGTAACATCGACAAGATTTAAACCCCATTTCCCATAACTGTGATGATGACATCGTATTTGCGATTTTAACGTATATCGTTCAAGTCTAATTTTCAACAGGGTATTTAGATCAACAGGTAGCGGCCCCGTCACTGTTTGTCGATCATGCGTGCAAAATTATTCATACACATGTCACGACGCAGCGAAACAAAAAAATTAGGTACACGTTTGGAAGAATAATGGTTATACATATTTAATAGATAAATAGCAAAGTAAAAACCTTTCTGAGGTATGCAACAGCTTCTGCTGTTGCAAGAATGGGCAGGCGCGTCCGGGCAAATACCACCGCCTCACAGAAGACCCGGCGTGTAATGGGAGTATTATACTTTCGCGTTTCGTCTGATGAGTGAGGTTACACTTTTTAAAAGGTTATCGACGCATTTCAGGTGTTGTAGATGTCTACGGGGGCAATAATCACTAAAAACAGCCAACTAAAGCAGGTCTTATTTCACGTCGATGCAAATTCACCCGACTCTCACCACGCCGTAACATCTCGAAAGCCTCTTTCAGAGATTAACGTAACCAAATTGCTTGTACAAGGAACTGCGCCTCGTGGCACATTTAACTTTAATATGAACATCATGAAGTGAAAGGTTATTAAAAATTAAATTTGCATTTTCTCCTTCACAGCGTTTTGAGAAGGATACGGTGAGATTTCATACAGTTAATTAGAATTGTGTAAGAATATCGTTACAAGTTAATTTTATTATTATATTATATTATTATAGAAAAAAAAAACGTGACTGTTTTCATTGTAATTAGAATTCGAATATAGTTAATGGAAGGGTCATCATAATTTAGGTTAGTTCTTACATTACTATTACACATATCTGTTTTCGATCGATCAATCTAAATAAATTCTGCTTCTCCGGAACATTTTTAAACGCGAAAGCACAAAGACACTACCGGGTATCGGAGTTGAAAAATGGCTAATTCGGAAGGATCTGATCAGGAAGGATAATGGGACAAACTATTTAAATTATTGCATTGACATCGGCCCTTCATAAGTGTGCAAAATTTCAATTTAATTCGACGTCTTGAAATGGGTCAAAATCACGTTGGAAGATTCCGTTAGATATATACATTCATAGCAACATATATAACAAGCCAATAAATGCGTGTTAATTATTCTCATTGTTGATAAGTCTCCGGGTCTAAATACTTTGACAAATAGGTATGCGTTGCAACGAAGACGCAAGTTCGACGCCGGCAGTGGCGATAATTTTTCAACAACTAATCTACACATATTAACCTCTGCATTGTTTTTTATGGAAAAGGAGGCAAAAGAGCAAGCGGGCCACCGTTGGTTAGTGTGCACCGCCGCCCACGGACTCCCTCAGAACTAGAAGAGTCACAAATGCGTTGCCGGCCTTCGAGGAAGGAAAGGCCCTCTTCGCGAATGAATGTCCCTAAGGGTGTAAGCGTTGATATCATATCAAAACAATTGTATTATTTT